GGAAGTGACCCATAGGTCTGAAATATTGCTGGCCCATATGGGGTAGAAGAACTTCGGCCTGGGGACCTTCAGAAGGTCTTCCCTGAGGTTCTAGCACCCCTTCCTCTGGAAGCCTTATTGGAAGATGAGTGCGAATAGGATTTCCATGAAGAATTCCTGGAAAACTCCTTTCCTGGTTTATAGCTCCTGCTGTCCCGAAAGGACCGATCCTTGAAGCGCTTGGTCTTCCAGGAGGAGGGAAAAACTCTTCCTGCCAGCTTGAGGTAAACGCCTTTTTCCCCATCAGCAGCTTTTTGAATAGCATCTTCCAGAATCTTCCCAAAAAGGAGATCCCCTCGGAACGGAAGTGCACACAGGGAAGCCTTAGAAGCATAGTCAGCACCCCACGAATGAAGCCACAAGGCCCTTCTAGAAGCCACAGACAGGGCCATGCTTTTGGCAATCATGCGAGTGATGTCCAGGGAGGCCTCTGAACAGAATTCCGTGGCTAGACTAAAGTCCTTGAAGCTTTCCAACAGATGTTCCCTACGGACACCCTGATCAATGTCGTCCTTCAGATTAGCGAGCCACACTTTCAAGGCTCTGGAGAGAGTCGTCAGTGCCACTGCCGGATGAAGGGCGGACCCTAGGGCCAAGTAGTCTTTAATCAGGTCTCCATCCATACGCTTCTCCATAGGCTCCCTGAGATATGCCATGGAGTCAATAGGCAGTGTAATTTTCTTAGCCATATGGATCACTGCAGTGTCAATTTTAGGAACTGAGTTCCACAGGCAGCAATCCACTGTAGAGTACAGATAAACCCTCGCAAACTTATTTTTTAAGGTGGACTTCTTTTCAGGCTTATTCCATTCCTGAAGGATCATATCCCTGATTGGCGCATGCACCGGGAAAGTAGGTCTGTTAGGCTATAGGTCCTCAAAAAACCTGTCGGCCTCCTTCAATTCAGATCTTTCTTCAGTGAGACTAAGCGTGTCTCTGAGAAGGGTAATAAGTCTATCTATAGACCTGGAGACAAGAGACGTGGAGGCATATTCAGCTTCCTCCTCACCTTCATCTGATACCTCCCAGACATCAGGGTCCTCATCAGAGCTGGAAGACTGAGGTTCCGCTCTGCGTCTCTTACTTGGACCACTAGATCCCGTGGTAGCCATAAAGCCCTCAGCAATAGCCTGAGAAATCCAGAGCTTAAGGTCGTCTTGTGGAGAGCTCCTACTGGGGGCATCAGCGACTTCCAACAAGCATTCCTTGCAAAGGTTCCTTCTATTCGGAGCAGGCGAAGAACAATTAATGCATTTATTTGACTTTTCCCGTGATTTTCTCGCTGGAGAATCCAAATGAATGCTGGGGCTGGAATGAAGCCATATATGACATATATTACAGGCTCAGTATGGCACTCTTTTAACAACACCCCCCCCAATAAAATTAAGAAATGGCTCACCTATGTTTTCTAGAGAGGGATCTTGCAGAGGCAGAGGGAGAATCCATACTATAAAGAAGAACCAAAGGAAAATCCAAGACCTAATTCCCCAAAGGGATAAATAGGCAAACTGACAAAGCAATACTTCCAATAAGTAGTAAAAACAGCAATCCTACCTTAAAGAGCAGAACATCCACTATGCAGCCAGGCAGCAGATAGGAGTAGCTGGGCACAAACTGGACACCAATGCTTTCCCAGGGGTAAACCAACATAAGGCTAGCAGATATAGCGCCAAGGCAGCTGCATTAGATGCTTTAAAAAAGGTCCGGGCAGCGAACAGCTGATTGCCCGGTTCGCGCATGCGCAGAGCGCTGGAACGCACGCTATGCGTTCCAAACGCTCGCGACCGGCATGCAAATTACTTCCGGTTTCGCCGGAACCGGCTGCGAGCAACAAACAGTCGGCTGGAACGCATAATGCGTTCCAGCCCCCAATGCCCAGGCACACAGGGAGCCCCAGGGAGCAGGGAAGCCTGCACAGCCTCACATTAACCCATCAGAGGCTGGAACAGAGCCAGGGGAGCAGGGAAGCCTGCACAGCCTCACATTAACCCATCAGAGGCTGGAACAGAGCCAGGGGAGCAGGGAAGGCACCAAACAAGAGCCAAGAAACAGATCCTAAAGGACAAGACCCCTAAGCATGGATTCAAATACTGCCAACAAGGTATGGGGGGGGATATATAACCCCAATTAGTAGGGGCAGGCTGAAAACAGGGGGAATTTTTAAGGCTAACCAACCCCACAAATAAACAGAAACAGTGTCTCCCTCAAACACTTACTTCCCACGCTGCAGTTCAGTACTTACACTGAACCTGACCCAGTTAGTCCTGCTCATGCAGGCTGTTTACTAGGCCCTTCAAATGAAGAGAGGCTGAACTTCATTTGGAACGAACCCACGACAAACGCAGGAAGGTGGCCATAAACAAAATGTAAAAAGTCCTGTAGAACTTGCTAAGGACAGGAAAAAAGACTGAGGTGTAGGGGGAGGAGGGACTCCTTATACCTATCAGTCTGATTAATTAATCTAATTAATTCCTGTCCTGTGACTGCTAAGGGAGGAGCTACCCATAAGTGATGCTGCCATGATTAGCCAGGAATAAACAGATTTTGAAGGATTTATACTAGTGAGATGCAATAGGTTTGTTTGCCATTTTCAAAGCCTTTTACATCCCTGCAACAAATGCATTAAAAAAATATCATCTTTTAAATTTAGTAATTTAGGTTCCTGAAATTATCTTACAAGTGGGTCTATGTATTCCGATATATATATGGATTTCATTGAATTTAAACACTTTATACAACTGCGTGCAGTTAAGATGTAGTAATAGAACCTATCCCACATTAGTAACTTTTTTGAAAAGTAAAGCTACACTGAACACAATTATAAACGCAACACTTTTGTTTTTGCCCCCATTTTTCATGAGCTGAACTCAAAGATCTAAGACTTTTTCTATGTACACAAAAGGCCTATTTCTCTCAAATATTGTTCATAAATCTGTCTAAATCTGTGTTAGTGAGCACTTCTCCTTTGCCAAGATAATCCATCGACCTCACAAGTGTGGCATATCAAGATACTGATTAGACAGCATGATTATTGCACAGGTGTGCAAAAACAAAAGTGTTGCGTTTATAATTTTGTTTAGTGTTATTTGCTTTATGTAAGAAAAGAAAACGATAAATTAAGTTAGATACACTTACTACTGAATTTTGACTCCAAAAGCACCATAATTTAGGTTTAAACAAACTTTGTTTGAAGAACTATATACCTTGTGCCCTGTAAAAAATATTCTTCCCAGGAGAAAAAAATAAATAAAAATTGTAACGGACCGTTTTGCACACAAGGGGTAAAAACCGTTTAGGCGATCGGCCCCCTTTCCAGAGATCCAGGCACAGCTACTGCAGAACACCAAAACTCACGAACTGGATACAAAATAGCACTCCAACTCCCGAACTGGAACCTCCCAAATAGCTGCTAGCAGACCAACAGGAAAAGCAGACGAACAGCTTACACTCCTGGCAATCAGTCTCTAACAGCATACAGTGAATCCCCCCAAGAACGAGACAAGGCTCCGTGTTGAGGGTCAAGCAGTGGTCTGAGGTGCTGGCACACCCAGCCTGGTTTTTATTACAGTCTTGCAAATACAGGACCGCCCACAGGGAGGTATAAAACAACCAATCACATCACAGTTACATCCCACATATTCCCTCCCCTTATCCTGAGAGGAAACTCAATTATACATACAGTTAAAACATACTTTCTACCCAACTCTCATAACTCTAAAACCATACATCACATTCACATAAAATTACACATTCACAATCAATCCATTCAGGGGAACAACATATTAAAAAATGGCCTGAATCAGACCAGGGGTTCAAAAGTTAGTAAAAAGTCCTTTGTGACTAAATGAAGCATGGCTTTCTGGCCCAAACCAGTTTCAGAGTCTTCTATCCTGGAGATAAGTAATTCAATTATCTCCCAGGACAGACACAAGACTCCATTAAGCACATGGTTGCAAAAAGACACAAAACACTTTAAAATACATAAAGTCACCTTTTATACATAAAACACAGACATTTCACATATCCCCAGATAGCTCAGGTCTGAGCGCACATTATTAAGTGAATGGCGCTCAGACCACACGAATACAGTTTAATCGCCATGGAGCCAAAGTCTTTACAGTCAGTTTCATACAAATGGGCTCCATGGGATTCCTATCTGGGGTATAACACATTCAAACAAATCTACCGAACCCCAGGCAGAAAAGCACGAATTAAACTTTTCTGCAGGTAAAAAAAAAATGTCTTTTAACAGGGGGCCATAGTCCAAAGGCAGCAGGCGAGCAACCAGGCTTCTCCAATGCAATGTGGCGAGATTGGTCTCGTCACAAAAATCAAATATAAGCTAATATGAGTCAAATGTTTCCAATCACAGTCCATGCTTGCTTTCCCAGCATAAGTAATGTGTGAATTCGTATAAATAATTGCTCCATCATTAAATAAAGAAACAATAAGTACTTTTGATGTATTGGTTTCTAAGGAAACTCTGCAATTAAATTGAAATTGGTATGCAATTCAAATCTATGTACAAGTTACCTAAAAATGTTCTGCATACTATTTTCTTTAGCAGGTCCATGAATTATTTCACTTCAAACAGTATATTTCTATTTTGTTACATGAACATTAATTTTCTACTTCTAATGCTCGTGGTCTCAAGGTGAACATATTGATAAAATCCTAAGTAAATCTCCTCTTTAAATTATGCACAAAACACTCGCCTCCTTGAAGCCAGGCTGTAATCTTGACTTTTCGCCATAGGAAGCAACATCTGTTTCACCCAGGTTTCTGAATTATGAACAACTGCTGCAATTATCTATGTAGGTATTTTGACATTTAATTTGAAATCTTTTTCTGGTGTATGATGTTGTTTTGTTTAAATTAGTGATTCACGTGTGTAGAATGAAAATATCTTTACAAAGAAGCTGTTGATATATATATATATAATGTAAGACTCTCATTTTACTCTAATCCTTCTTGATCAATTCGCCAGTCAGCATGGACCAATGGGAACGTTTTTCTTGTAATAAAGCTACATCAGTAGGCATACTCCACCATAGATACACGTTGTCCACCATGCTGGCAACCATTAAGGCAGCTTGCTCTAGAACACTGAGGATATCAGCAAGCTCTGGAACACTGAGGATATCAGCAAGATTTAGAACAATGAGGGTATCAGCAAGCTCTGGAACACTTAATATAGCAGTTTGCTGGAGAACACTGAGGATATCAGCAAGCTCTAGAACAATGAGGGTATCGGCAAGCTCTGGAACACTGAATATAGCAGTTTGCTCCAGAACACTGAGGATATCAGCAAGCTCTGGAACACCAGGGATATCAGCAAGATCTGGAACACTGAGGATAGCAGGAAGCTCTGGAACACTGAGGATAGCAGCAAGCTATGGAACACTGAGGATAGCAACAAGCTATGGAACACTGAGGATATCAGCAAGCTCTGAAACACTGAGGATAGCAGTAAGCTATGGAACACTGAGGATATCAGCAAGCTCTGGAATACTGAGGATATCAGCAAGCTCTGGAATACTGAGGATATCAGCAAGCTCTGGAACACTGAGGATATCCACAAGCTCTGGAACACCGAGGATATCAGCAAGCTCTGGAACACTGAAGATAGCAGCAAGCTCTAGAACAATGAGGGTAGCAGCAAGCCCTGGAACACTAAATATAGCAGTTTGATTTAGAACTCTTAGGATATCAGCTTGCTCTAGAACACTAAAGGATAGCAGCAAGCTCTGGAACACTGAGGGTAACAGAGGAGCTCAGTTACTGTAGGACACAATACTACTGAGCAAGGCCTTCAGGAACAGGAGACATGAAGTAGGGGTTTCAGCAGATCGTATACAGGGATGAGACCTGAAGCAAAATAAATGAGCTGGCTAACGAGAAGAGGAGAGTCTAAACTAAAGAGAGAGGAGATAATTTTAAGGTAGGTCCAGCTAGGGACAGAGTCAGAGCTCATCAGCAGCCTATAACAGCACCACAGAAAGGCAGTGGCTGTATGAGGCATTGCACCAGACTGTAGAGATCAGAAAGCTAAAAAGAATACACAGAATCATGACACTGTTAAAGATCCATAATGTGACCTTGCTCTGGATGGGTTATAACAGCTGATGGATTTAATATTTCTTGTCTGCTTATGTGCTAGGATTCCTTTGACCTATAGTGTACTCTTTGCTATTAAACATGACATTTATATATTTAGATGAACATTAAAATCATAGGATGTGATAGGGAGTATGTTATTTATTGCAACACAATGGCCATTGCATTTCTAGATGGCATATTGATATTCAGAAAGGTCAGGGTCAGCCCAAATGACTCCGGAGGATTTGTGCATATGAATGAATGTGTACTTGTTGCAATCTGCAATGATAGCATGTTAGTGTCAAATATGTCACAGAAGACCATGGGTGTAATGAGAAATGTGCCAGATATATGGTAAATGCTGAACAATCACAAGTCAATTAATTGTTTTTTTTTCTACCCTGGGTCCAGCTCAAGCTCCTGCAGCCCCCAGAATCCCCCTAAATAGCTTATCATCCCTAGTCTAAAATATAACCATTAGAGATACATACACTATATAACGTGTATAAAAGTACTGAAATTATATGAGTAAATGTGAGTAAAGGCACCATCTGCTGACTTTTGACATTGTCATACCTAAGACCTAATTGACACTACTGTCTGAACATCAATCTCACAGAAACCTCAAATGTCTTGACCTACAGCATTTCTCCACTAATCTCCAAACTCTCCTTTTACCTATCTCAAACCTCACCTGTCCTAGCTCTGCAAACTCCTTCTACAATTCCACCCTCTCCTCTCAACTAGACATCATGGCACCTCCTATATTTAAATGCAGCAAGCACCCCCAACAACAACCTTGGCACACCAAGCTGACTAAATATCTTCAAAAATGCTCCAGAACTGCTGAACGCTGTTGGAGAAAGTCTCACTGTGCGTCTGACTTTCTCCACTATAAATTTATGCTGCGCTCATACAGCTTGGCTCTTTCCTCTGCAAAAGTAAATTACTTCAATACCCTCATAACCACACTCTCCCGCGAACCCAAATGACTATTTCACACATTTAACTCTCTTCTTGTCCCCAATTGTTCCTCCTCCACCTACTAATGTGACTGCCTCAGACTTTGCAACTCACTTCACTAACAAGATCTCTACAATCAGGGAAGAGATCTCTCATCTTTCTTCTTCCCCTTACAATACTTCCCCTAACCTCACTCCCGCTGCTGTTCTATGTTCATTTGCACCCGCTACAGCGGAGGAGGTTTCTGCTCTGCTCCAGTCCTCCCGCCCCACCACCTGCTCCTTGATTCCAATTCCCTTGCATCTTATCCACACTCTTTTTCTCTTTCTGTACCTCTCACTAAAATTCTCAATCTCTCTCTCTCTCTCCTCTGGCATATTTCCATCACCCTTTAAACATGCAACTGTAACCCCAATTCTAAAGAAGCCCAACCTTAACCCTAACTCCCCATCCAATTACCATCCTATCTCGCTACTGCCTTTTGCATTCAAGATCCTTGAAAGAGTTGTGTATGCTAAATTGACAGACTTCATTGAGTCCCATTCTCTGCGAGACCCGCTTCAGTCTGGTTTCCGCTCTAAGCACTCTGTAGAAACGGCACTGACCAATGTATCCAATGATCTACGCAATGCAAACTCTCATGGTCACTACTCTATCCTAATTCTCCTTGACCTTTCTGCGACTTTTGACACTGTTGATCATCAATAGCTTCTTCTCATCCTCCACAATAACGGTCAAGATATTGCTCTCTCCTGGTGCTCCTCCTACCTCTCCGAGCGCTCTTTCAGTGTTTCTTTCTCTGGCTCTGCATATTATCTCCAGCTCCTCTCTGTTGGTGACCTCCAAGGTTCAGTCATTGATCCCCTACTGTTTTCCATCTATACTGCCTCCCTTGGTAAACTCATTAGCTCCTTTGGCTTCCAATATTATTTCTATGCGGATGACATGCAAATCTATCTGTCCTCTCCTGATCTCTCCCTGTCCCTCTTAACTAGTATCTCTGACTGCCTCTCTGCTATTTCTAACTGGATTGCTGCCCACTTCCTTAAACTCAACTTGACCAAAACTGAAATTCTGGTCTTTCCTTCCTCAATTGTTGCTACTCCTGTGTCTGTCTCCCTCCAAGTCAACGATGCTACCATCAGCTTCACCACGCAGGCTCGCTGCCTAGGTGATCTCTTTGACTCCGACCTCTCCATCATGCCTCATGTTCAGTCTATCACCAAATCCTGCCGCTTCCATCTCAAAAACATTGCACGCATCCGACCCTTCTTAACGACAGATGCGACTAAGGTGCTGGTCCATTCCACTGTCCTTTCTCGCCTTGACTACTGTAATCCAATTCTCAGTAGTCTTACGTGCTCCCAACTTGCGCCGTTACAGTCCATAATGAATGCGGCGGCGAGGCTCATCTTCCTGTCCGCCCGCACCGCCCAAGCCTCATCATTCTATCAATCCCTACATTGGCTTCCTGTAAGATATAGGGCTTAATTTAAAAATCTGGTTCTTTTAAAGTATGTCCCGTCTAGGCACTTACGCTCTGCTGAAGAGTTACGTCTATCTTCTGACCGTACTCCCACCTCTGATGCTTGCCTTCAAGACTTCTCGAGGGCTGCACCGTTCCTGTGAAAATCACTTCCCTCCTCCGTTAGATGCTCACCCAGTCTCCACTCCTTGAAAAATCATTAAAAACCCACTTCTTCATAAAAGCGTATCAATTAAACTGTTAAACGCTCCCAACTAATTCCACTCTTGCAACTGTTATTAGTCTAATACTATCCTTGCCTTTTGTGTCACTTTACCCCACTCCCTCTAGCATGTAAGCTCATTGAGCAGGGCCCTCAACCCCTCTGTTCCTGTGTGTCCAACTTGTCTGGTTACAACTACATATCTGTTCGTCCACCCACTGTAAAGCGCTGTGGAATTTGTTGGCGCTATATAAATAATAAATAATAATAATAATAAATAGATATTCACATATTTTTAAAAATATATATAAATACTCCCTATCCTTGAGTTTTTATGTCATTATACACCCTTTTGAGAATACCACCATATCCTATAGCCAAGCTTCTCAATGAGCGCTTCCCTTCAGTCCGCTGGCGGCCGGGTACAGGAAACAGATGTTCCTATACTGCGGTCCGTGGCACCCAGCCACGCTACATAGGTAGGAGGCACAAAAGAAGAGGGAAGAGACGAGGGTAAGGACCATGGGGGTGAGGGGGGGAAAAGGGTAAGGACCACTAAGGGGGGGGAGAGTACCATTAAGGGGAAAGGAGGAGGGTAAGGACCACTAAGGGTGGGAAGAGGGTAAGGACCACTGAGGGGGGGAGGTCCACAAAGGGGTTTGGGAGAGGGAGGACCACTAAGGGAGGGAAGGGGAAGAAAGGAAGGACCACCAAAGTGGGGTAAGGAGGGAAAGGACAACTAAGGAGGGTGGACCACTAAGGAGAGGGGGAGGGTAAGGGCCACTAATGGGGGAAGGAGGGTAAGGACCACTGAGGGATGAAGAGGCAAGGACCATTAAGGGGTGGGGGAGGGAGGACCACCAAGGGGTGGGGAGGTCCACTAAGTGGTATGGTAGAGGGGAGAGGGAGGACCACTAAGGGGAGAAGATGGTAAGAACCACTAAGGGGATGGGGAAGGACCACCAAAGGGGGTAAGGATGGGAGGGACCACTACGGAGGGAGGACTACTAAGGGAGGGAAGAGGGAAAGGACCATTGAGGGGGTGAGAAGGTAAGGACCACTGAGGGGGAGAGGGAAGGACCACTATGGAGGGGAGAGGGGAAGGACCAATAAGGGGTTTGGGAGAGGGGGGGAGGGAGGACCACTAAGGGGGAGAGGGGGGAGTGAGAAGACCACCAAGGGGGGACTTCAGAGGGACAGTGGGCCAAGGGAGAGCACTAAGGGACAGGAGGGAAGGGGAGATCACTAATTGACAGGAGGGGAGAGCACTATAAAAAATAAAGAGCTGCTCCCCTCTCAGTCCCTATCCTACCCCACAAACCCTCCCTTTTTCACTACACACATACACAATGCATCCCCCCCCACACACACACACAGAAACATACAATGCATCCCTACTCACACACAGACACACCGAAACACACAAAGCATCCCTTATGTGCACACACACTGATTCTCTTACACACAGAAACAAAATGCATCTCTTACACACACTCAATGCACCCCTTACAGACACACACTTCATTCACTTACATACACAGAAACACACCTTGCATTCCTTACACCCACACACCCAGAAACATACAATGCATTCTTTACACACAAACACACACTGCAACCCCTATACACACACTACATCCCTTACACATTTTGAAATCTCTATACACTACATTCCATAAGAACACACACACACATTACATCCTCTACATTAACACATAACACATCCACTACACACATACACTCCACTCCCTGTGAGAGAACTCATGGGTGGGCCTTGTAGGCATACTCACGGTCAAGCCCTGGGGGCCCAGACCTTGAGCTGTGTAAGGGGCCCCAAAAATGGAGCTGCTTCCTGTTCGTTGATTGTTGTGAGCACTGTTACAAACAG